GCAGTGCATTTGGGATTATTTCTACCTCCCGCTTATCTGAGAATCTAAAATAATTCAAGGTGTTTGGGTTGGATTATCGCTTATTTTCACCTCGATTCTGATTTTAAGCAGAATCAAACACGTCTGAAGGCTCGCTCGTCGAACCTAATGGGGGTGTTCGCTGGTCTGATCAATTCAGCCAGCCGGCTGATCCCTCTCTGAAGTTACTGTTCATCAAACCAGCCAAATAGTATTTTATTTCACAACAAACCAGTCGGAACAATGTTTTCAGTCAAATTTCAGCCAGCCGATCGGGGCCAATGTGGCATCTCAAATGCCTGAGGATCATATTCGTATGTCTACTGAGTTCTCCATGCTGGAAGCTTTATTTTGCCGTATTGTGTTTATGGCCCATGGGAGGCTGGCTGTCTGCAAAATCATTCTTGGCTTAGGTCTGCAAGTTCTTCTTTCTCTCGTCTGTAACCGTCTCTTGCATGGAAACTAACACCTTGCAGCTTCTATTTTTTCTCGCTGAACAATTCTTGCTGTCAAGTGCCATATGCCATCAGACCTTTCGCCCTTAATTTCTTGCAGACGAACATATCTTTTTAATAATGGTTGCAGATCAACAATTGTTATTCGACTCTGCTTTGTCTTGCTCTTTCAGTTTTCTCTTTGGTAATGTTTTGCTCCCTTTTGGCACTATCCTATTGTTCCTTTGGCAAAGAATGTAACCTATGTAGGCCCTGCAATACTTACAAAAAGTGAAGCGTATGTTGGGCTAAAATTTAGTCAAAGTAGGTGAAGATGCGCATGATTCGAGAGGCGATATGAACCTTTTGTTCTTTGTTCTTAATTAACAGCTCGAGTTGATCTTCAAGATATGGCACGCCATTAGTCACTAAACTAGTAGTCTAGTACTACCATATTATATACATCTATGCTTATTACAACTTGGACTTTAGCAATCATACTGTTAGCTGATCGAATAGTTAATATTAGATCACTGTAGTGGCCCGTTTTCCATGCCTGATATTTTTTCAAAGTTGGAGGAGTACAGTCAGCACGTCTACACTGCACCTACTCTGCTCAACGCCTTGGCCGTCAAGAATGCTTTTGGTAGCTTAGCTTGCATTTCCTGGTGCAATTTTTTTATAATTTGGTCTTTTTTTAATTTGGTCTTTTTTTATAATTTGGTCATTTAAAAAAAATAGGTTTGGCTCTTGGGAGACGTAAACTCATCTTTGGACCCTGGGATCGGCGCCAGGACTTATGGCTCTGAGGTAACACGTCTCAGCGCCACGGATCTGGGATCCGAGGTGCCTGGCCGTGTACAACAGAGCATCCTAGATGGCGTTGACGTGGCCGATGTACCTCAGAGCCACAGATCTTGCTCCGAGGTCGAGCTCGGCGCTAAGATCTGTGGCTCAGAGCCGTGGATCCCGGCTTCGAGCTCGGAGCCGTGGATCCTAACGTTGAGCACGGGTTGAAAAACCACGGCTAAGTTCAGAACAAGTTAATCAAGCGAGGAGAGGATGAGATCCATGGTTCCGCCCGGTTTCTCAACGTTTCCCCGGGGAGGGCGCTGTCTGCAGCGCCGGGCTCAGTGCCGGTCGCTCTCACCCACGCAACCACGTGGGCAGCTGAGCGGATCGGCTGAGCAGAGCAGCGTGAGCTAGTGACAGTGAGCACTGACCACCTCGCTCGCTCTCGCTGAGACGCTGACGCTGTGACCCCGACCCCGGGGTCAAAAGACCGGAGGCCCGCCCGTGGCCAGCCAAGTTGGACGATGATGGGTGGGAGGACGGGACGACGAGAGGAGGCCTACCTGCTGCCTGCATTATTGGCGTTATTTTACAGCGTGTGCGTTGTGCTTGTGGAGTTGTGGTGTGGAATCAATCATTCATGGCTGTCTGGTTCCGTCATGAATCTCCTCCGTCTTTGACCCGCTGTGCCTGTCAGGTGTAGTAGGTGGTTTGCTTTGCTTTCACTCCTGTGATAAGCTTCTGAAAAGATCAGCACTATTCTGAACTTGGCCCGCTGTGCCTCAGAGCCATGGATCTCATCCTCTCCTCGCATGTTTAACCGTTCTGAACTTGACCGCGGGTTTTGAACTCATGTTCGGCGTCAGGATCCATGGCTCTGAGCTCGGAGCTGAGATCCACGGCTCTGAGGTCGGAGCCACAGATCTTGGCGTCGAGGTACCGGTCACGTCAACGCCACCTAGGATGTCCTGCTGTGCACGACTAGACACCTCGGAGCCGAGATCTGTGGCGCCGAGACGTGTTACCTCGGAGCCATGAGTTCTGACGCCGACCCCAGGGTCCAAAGATGAGTTTACGTGTTTTTCAGGAGCCAAACGTAAATTTTTTTTAAAAAAAGATCAAATTATAAAAAATTTGGACGAAGGCCCCCTCAACTTGTGTCTTGGGCGGTGAAAGACCTTCTTTCTGTCTCTGTCTACTTATCCCGGTGTCTCCTGATTGTGCTTCCCAGAGCTCTTCCTCTCGCTCTCAATTCCTAAGTCTCCGTGCTTCTGGTTTCTTGAATTACGATTCCATTTTTACCAAGCCTAATTTCTTCCTATTTTTTTTACCATTGAAGTTTAATTACCAATCATTTTTGTGTGGGTTTAATTGGAGGACAGTGATGGAAACAACGAAGGCTCGCTCGCCGAACCTAATATGGCATCTCAAGTGCCTTGACGATCATATTCGTATGTCTACTGGGTTCTCCACGCATGCTCACGTACCACACACCCTCTTGGCTTTGCACGTTCTTCCTTCTATTGATTTTTAAACAGTCTCTTGCACACAAAGCTGTGTTGTGTAGATTCTGTTTCAGTTTCACCATAGCCTGTTTGGAACTTTCGATCAGCATTGCCTCAGATCTTTTTCGCATTTCTTGGAGATGAACAGTTGTTGAAGATTTCTTTTTCCAGAACACTAAGACATCGAAAGTTGCTCCTCCTGTTTTAATTTCTTTTGATTTGAAACTGGCAATTCGCAAGTCCGCGTTCCTTTCTGCTCTCGCCTTTGAGTGGAGGAACTGCAGTTGTTTTGGCGATCTTCAGTTCAGATCACGCAGACTTTTTAGTTTTTAAGGCAACTAAGCGTCGCTTTCGATCAAGTCAGAACCAACAGATCTTTTTTGGTTGTAAACTTGGAAAACCAGCACCCGGCACGAAGTTAACCACATGAAAATTAAATTCTACTAGTTCAGTAGCATACCAGTAGGACCGTAGATATATACAAAGTTCGGAAGTAATTCCTCTGTTCTAAATTATAAATTATTCTGGTTTTTTAGACACATAGCTTTATCCATGCATATAGATATATACTATGTTATATAAAGTAAAAGCTATATAAATATGAGTCAGGATGACTTATAATTTAGAATTTAGAAGGAAGAGAGTGGCATTTAATTACATATACTGCTGGGAAGATTCCATGGTTCGCCGATGCGGCAAATGAAGTATTACTAGCGAAGAACATAAGCACCGCTATCAATCGAAACAATCCTACCATGTATCTTAATTGCTGTAATATGTTGATCCCACAGGATCATACATAAAATTTCATAATATCATAATACTAAGATTCTACGATACTATACATTAATTGACACAAACGATTTTCTAAATGATTGCAAAATTACTAAAGTTAAGGTGTGTCAAAAATAATACCAAGAATTTGCACTTAATAAATGCAAAAAAAATATAAAATATATAATTTGTAAACTCGGATCCTGATACGCTTAGACAAAAAACGGTCCTAACAACCTTGGTCATGCTAGATTGCTACCTCCTCTGTTCCAAATTATAGTCGTTCTAACTTTCTTGCAGAGTCAAAGAATCTCAAATTTGACCAACTTTATATAATAGAATAATAACATTCATCGTACCAAATAAGTATCATTAGATTCTTCACTAATTATATTTTCATAGTACACCAATTTGATGTCATAAATCTCTACGATTCTCTTTATAATTTTAGTCAAACTTAAAATGCTTCGACTCTCAAAGAATTTTTTTTTTGTGAATAACTCTCAAAAAAAGTTAAAATAACTTATAATTTGGTACGCAGAAGGTCCTTGGTAGTATATAGGACGCAGCCTAGACTCCATCAATTATTCATCACCAAGCACATTCCGATGGAAGGCGTACGCAGATATACATGAAATATCTTTTTTTTCGCTACAGCCTTAGCATGACTGCATGATTTCTATTCCCATTTGATTCCCTGAAATTGAGAAAAATTAGAAAGTAATGTAATAATAAAATGAAAAGCACTTTCTAGATATTGATTTTAATTCATGAGATCCAAACAGACTTGTTGGTCTATTTAGTTGCACAGGAATGTTTTTTGTTTTTAAAAGAAAAAAAAATTATTCTCCTTTGCAGGTTATCTATGTGATCTCTCGTAGGCTCCATTCGTGGGCTATCATTTAGATGTTAGAGTTCTAGGATACAGTTGTGGCAGCATCGCAACAAATAAAGTAAGTGGCGAAGAATATCGTTACCTAGACATACGGATGACGATTTAGTGTTAGGATTGAATGTCACTAGAATATGCTTATATTTTTTATTTCTTTAGTTGCGTACTGTCATTTAGGCAGAGGCTGTGAGTTTTATTCCAAAGCCGTATATCAACTCGATGGGTTGCTTTTTAGATGCAATAAAATCTTTAAAAAAGCCAAAGAACAGACGACGGATGAAGGCACGATGTCATAGACCGATGAAGGCTCGACCTCGCGCTACACCTCACGGTGTTTTGCTGTTTGGCCGGTGCCCGCTTTTGTGTGTGTGTGTCTCTCTCTCGATTGAGCTCAAATGCAAGGCAACTTCTTGGAAGTTCCTAACAATATTATAATATAATTCTTCTTCTTTTTTAGGGGATATAATATAATTCTTCTGGTTGACTATGACCAGCCGTCCAGCCGCCTGTGTCTATCTTGTTCTGTTATAAATTAGGATAGGAATTTGATCAACATTTCACGCCCCTCCGAAGCACCATCCATCGATGACGACGTCGGCGAGCGAGGTCTCGGTGTGCTCGCACCTGTTCACGGTGAAAGGCTACACCCACACCAGGGGCATCGGCGTGGGCATCGCCATCGAGTCACCGGCGTTCGACGCGGCCGGCCACCGTTGGTCCGTCGTGTTCTACCCGGACGGCGACGACCAGGACTCGAGGGGGCACATCTCCGTCTACATCAGGCGCGTCGGCGGCACCGGAGACGCCACCGTGCTCTACGGCTTCAGCCTCGTCGACCCGACCGGCGCCGCGTCGGCCCCGGAGGCCTCCAAGGCCCCCAAGATCGCCTCGTTCGGGCGTTCGGCGGGCGGCGAGTCCAGGGCATCGGCCGTTTCATGGAGCACCAAAGGTTCGAAGCGTCTCCGTACCTGCGAGACAACTGCTTCACCATCAAGTGTGTCATCGGCGCCGTCAAGGGGCCCGGCCCGCCGCCGCTGCCTGTGGCGGCCTCGGAGCTGCAGTACGATTTCGACCGACTTGTGGTGGACGTCGGCCGTTCGGAGGGCACCATGTCCGATGTCGACTGAGGAAATCATTGCTGCTCTGCTTCTACGAGAGCAGGTGAACCATCAGCAAGATAAATAAAATAAAATGAAAACAAACTCGCATCTGTATTTCATCTTGCTCTGTAATTTAACATGAAATTCAATGAGAATCAGGCAAAGGGAAAGTAGTATACTGACGGATACATTTTAAACCAAGGGACAATTATCGTGTTCCTTCCACAACAAATACAACACTATCTTCAGACCCAAACATCAACCGCAATCAAACTACGGTGAACGACGGCCAGCAAATTTATTGTCTAACCTAACATATGTATAGGGTACACATTTCCCAGTTCAACCCATCACCATGATACACGTATCCTACCTTACGTTTCTCCATTTAACCTTGGAAAATCAATCGATGCATGTATATCATAGAGCACACCACTGCGCACAGTAATTTTACTGCTATGCTTTAAACGTATCCACTACTACCTTGCCCGCGCAAGAAGCGCACAACGACACAAGTTATGTTGTCACTGCTCTCCCTCTTGTAGGCCTCTTGCAAGAGCTTCTTTGCAGCCTCTTCTGGGTCCTGAATGGATCTGGTCATCGCGACAGCTTCCTGCATGGCAAACAATGTAAACAGGTGGTGCTGAGCAAAGGAATGCGGCAAGAGACTGTCAAAATATTCTGAAGCTCTGCATTTCCTAAAATTACCTCGTTAGAGACCACATCCCACAGCCCATCACTTGCAAGGATGAGAAACTCAAGTGTGTCATCGACAACTTCCTCCTATGACCCAACGATGCATTAGAAAACACATTCATGGAATATTCAAATGAATTCAGTTAAATGAAAACAAGACTTCCTTGGTATAGATCATGATTTCTACTGAAGGTTTCTGTGACCTCAAAAGACAAAATTGATGGAAAGCGTTCAAGCTAACATTTATCACCAAACACCAAGATGGCACACTGACAACTAGATGTGTGCAAACAATAAACCATCCCAGTAAGATCATTGATACTACTAGGAAACTCCTGAACAAAGCAATGAGCATTTTGGAAGGGAAGTAAAAAGATACATATCGTAATGTCCAAGATTACGTACTCGGATCTCCGGATCCACAACTACGTATTGCTTTAAGAGTTTGTCACCAAAAGCACGAGAAACAGCAAGTACACCACCAACACGCCATGTTCCTATAGAACAAAGCACTGACATTAGGAGAAGAATCATATTCCATCAACTTCAAGAAAATGCAGTGACTGACATACCTGCCCACATCACAAAACCTCCAGCATCTTCAATACGCTGCCGCTCATCAGTTTGATCAGGCTTGTGATCTTTTGAAACAGCAATAGCTGCAAAAAACAAGCAGAACACATCAAGTTAGGAAGTCATTAAATGGTATTGCCAATGCTGAAATCTCAATCGAGACTCAACTCCTAGCTTAGCAGGACAAGGCAAACAAGGTCAAAATTCAGACCTTCGCAATATCTCAAAATTTAGAAGAAAGCATGTATTTTAGCAAGATAAGACAAACAAGGCTAAAATTCAGACTTTACGAATTGTCTCCAAAATCATATTGTTGCATCACATAAATTCTACAAGCATGCATTAAGCCATGAATAAAGCGAAGGGTATACATTCTACCATCATCCTTTTCCCATAATCATGATTTAGTCTAAACAAGGCCAGTTACTAATAGCCAATATCAAGAGCATCGTAAAACTTAAACTATAATATGCACTACTATACTTGTAGTAAATTGATGGAAAGCCACTGGAGATTGTCCTTGTTTCTATGTTCTATTTTCACTGAAGAAGTTTTAGATGAAAGCAAATTGTCTCGGGTAACTATTACGTAAAAGTAACAAGGGGTTTAAAGAACAGACACAGTGAAGCCTTCATTACCATTTCCTTCCCTGCATATGATAGCCCTAGAGTCACCAACATTTGCGACAAAGAGGCGATCACCAACAAGTACAGCAGTTGATGCAGTCGACCCACATTGATTTTGACTACTGTCAGATTCTAAGAATTCACTGTCGGTGCTTTTATAAGCATCATCTGCAGTAATACAAACATGCAAGCTCAAGCTCTCATGATTGCATTCACATAATTTAGCAACTGATGTTAGTGGAAAAGGGAATAAAAGAATACCTATAGCGACTTTAGTATCACTGATGAACTTTGGATGACTAACAAGATTGTTGAACAAGTTTTCTTTAACATACTCTGCTACTTTAGCACCACCATGACCTACACAAATAAACCATGGGCAATTGGATCAGAAAGAACTGGCTACAGAAGAAAATTACGCTCAAATTATCTAAACTAAATCATGCTGAATCGAGAGAAATCCATACCGTCAAAAACTCCAAAAAGACCAATTATCTGACCATCAACACAGTCAATTTTTGTCTCATAGAAGTCTTCCATTGATGCCCTTTTACCAGGGGAGCTTGCATAGCCATAGCTAAATTTACCATTCTGGCTGGCAGAAAAATAAATGTGAGAAACTGAGCAAAAGGGTAACACAAGTACAAAATGATTGTCCATCGATTTGATATTTGGCCAAAGACAATGCTCTAATAAGCCAAGCTACTATAACAACACCCTGGCGATCCCAGAGTAAAACTTGTGCCGCCACTCTAATAACTACAGTTAGCGCAAAAGAAAATGGAAAGGCAACAGTTACTGCTTTCTGTGCTGAGAAGGAAACTAGAAATCATTTGTTCTTTGAATGCTCAACTGCTAAATACATTTGGAGCCTGTTGGCTTACTCTTTAGGAACTGATTGTAGACTTGTGAATATGGATCAATATTGGGTTTGGATTCATAATATCCTGCCTCAGGGCTCTCAGATGCATGCTGTGGGTCTGGCTATGGTCTGCTGGGCAACTTGGCGGACCAGAAATTCAGTGTGTTTCGACAAAAAAAGAATCAAATCTCCTACTGAGATTGTTTGCATGATATGCATGATATGCTCTTTTCTTATATACTGGGCAGGTATGCTAAATGACGGCTTGAAGCAGCAGGTGGTGCAGGGAGCGGAAGCAGTAAAGACGGCGGCCCTCTCATTCCACAAGTAAGATGTGCAATCTCAGACCAATGATGATCGTCAGCTGATCCCTTTTGCTGGTTGATGGAGCCAGTTTTATGTTAAGTTGTAGTTTGTGCGCCGTTCTGGGCCAGAGGCCTTGTATGGAACCCGTTTAAACTTGTTCGGTCTATTTTGTTGGCGCTCCGTCTCTTAGTTCTGGTAAGTATTGGTAGGTTGCGTCCATGCATAAGTTCCTCTGTGTCCGTATGCATGGATCTGTCTTTCTGGTGATAGTTTGAACTCGTGGTTATCAAAACTGGATCGCCTTGTAATTTCGTTGCCATGGTAATGAAATTCAGTTTTACCGTGTGTGAAAAAAACTACAGTTAGCGATTTTGAAAAGCTATAACTGGATGAATTCTTGCCATGTAGAGCTACAGCAGAAATGAGCTAATGCCTTAAATTACTAAACTCTTGCAAGCTGGCACAAGTTCATAGGTCGGGTGACACAAAGGCCAAATTCATAGAACGAGATTTTCTCGCAACCAGCCAGCAGAGCGTGTTAACTATATTATCCATTAACTTGGCTGATCTGAACTGATGGAACATATGAATGCTTAAATATTCTCTTTCTTATGATATCATAAAATCCACATTTGAAATGACAAACTTATGTCTACAGTACCACATTCCTCCTAAGATGAACTTAACCTGGTTTTTATGGGTACAATCCCAGTTTGTAGCATTGATTTATATTTTGGCCTTGTAAACCGTAAACGTCCATAAAGTGTGTATTTCAGATGTCCTACTGAATCAATAGACAAAACTACAACCAGAATCACCCTTTTAGGTAAGAAACAAAGCTAAGGGCTAAGGCCATAGCATTTTAACAGGATCAGTTCAGTTCCGAGCTAAAACACATAAACACCTGGCTGCTCACAACAAAGCTTAATCCATGTGATGCATGAAGCAACGTATCTCAAACTAACACGCATCAGGGCCACGGTCAAGGACGCAAACCATCACATTTCCGAAACTAATCACGACCAAAGCTGAGACGGACGAGTACAGGACCACAAAAGGACTTCACAAATCGAAGCGCCCACAGCACAATTCGAGCAGGGAGAACCACAAACCAGGCAAAAACAAAAAACAAAAAACAAAAGCCGTTCAAACGGACGACAAGAATCGTTTCACCACCTGAGGCCGCCGCCACTGACGGAGGATCCATCGGTGGGGTGGCCGATCACGGAGCTCAAGTACCCCATCCCGCTTGGATCCACGGCGGGGCGAGGAGCCGGCTCGGATCAGGCAGCGGGGAGCCGCGGATCGGCCCTCCAGCGCGTCAGGTTTTGGGGATTTTGGGAGGAGCGGGGCCGGAAGGGGAAGACGAGGCGACGGGTTTGGCACATTTCTAGGCAGCGGAGAAAACTTCTGCCGTTCTGCGTTTTTGCGCTTTGGCCCCTCGAAGTTTGCGGAGTTTCTGCTTCTTGCCGTGCAAGCTGCGAAAGCGAAGCCGACCGAGGTGCTCTTTTCACGTGAGCTAACATGTTGAACTGTTCGGCTGGCTAAAAAAAAAACGGCTGACGCTGATGCTGATGTTGATTTGTTGTAAGAGAAAAATATTGTTATTTTGCTGAAACGGTACGGTTGATAAATTGAAGCGAACCGGGCTTTTCGTGGCTTCCACTTCGGCCCCCGCCATGGGCCTTCTGCCTGCGGCATGATCCTTCGAGGACGGATGGATCTCCACGTGTTGCAGCTGGATTCGGCTCCGCGGCTTCCGCCCTAATTCAGCTCACCCAGCTGGTTCCTGTCCCGTATCACCGCCGTCCAGGGAACTTTGGGCGTCGCGCTCGCGCAGCTGAGTCGGAACTCGGAAGGGTCCCAACGGTTCAGATTACTCCCGCTGTCCCACCTCACCGTTTGGGAAAATATGCAATAGTACAATCTACTACTCCCTCGATCAAAAAAACACAATTGTAGGACTAAGCGCGGACATCAAGACAGCTAGCGAAATTACCGAAATGCTTGTATATACTCTCTCTGTCCCTGAAAGAATCAATATCTAGAGAAAAATTTGTCTAAAAAAAATCAATTTCTAGAGCTGATCGTCACATTTATCTCTCCTCGAAGTCTTAGTCACATTTAGTCACAACCCCCCGCCCCCCTCTTTTCACGTCTTGCCTCCACAAATTCTCCAATTCCCAAGCGCAGATTTGGGTGCTAGACTAATGAAGAGTCACCGACATTTAATACTCTAATTGAACACAGCTCAATTAAGAGTCTCGGGAGATGAAAAGCTATTAAGGTCCAGCGACTTGACGAGGGGCAGCATAGTCTTTTCTCTTGTTGGCTAATCTGTCTTAAAGTTGCTAGGAATTGATTCTTTCAGAGATAGAAGGGAGTAGTTGATTGACCTGTGCAGTAATATTCTAGAAAGCAGGAATGTGTGGAGGAGACAGCACCAGGCTTGTAGAATTTTATTTTTTTGGACAAAAATTGAATTGTAGGATTGCGTTTTTTTTACGGAGGGACTACCTTTTTTCCAAATATGTAAGTCATTTTAAAAATATATCTTTCAGTCATAAAAAAATAAAACTTGGTACTATATGCAAGGTGCATCCATATATGTACTCGCATATTAAAGTTGAGATGCAAATTCAAATTAGAAAAAAATACAAAAATAACAAATTTTATATACATTTGCACTACATGACAATCCACAAATTTTGTCTTTGTAGTGCACATGTACATGAAATTTATTGTTTTGTATTATTTTCTTAGTTTAAATTTGCATCTCAACTTTGCATGTGAGTATATATGTATGCACTATAGATGTACCGAGTTTTAGTTTTTTTAACAGTCAGACTATATTTTTTTAATGGTCTGCATATTTGCACCTAAGATGTAATTTGTATTTTTGAATGGTCTACATATTTGCTCCTAAGATGTAATTTGCACTACAAATTTTACCTCACATACGCATCTCAACACGCACATTGAAAATTAGAGCCACAATAGCCACAATTTAGAATTGTAGTTTGATTGATCATCCAATGTAATGTCATCATGCAAAAATTAAAGTAATTAAAAAAGTACGTTGGTCATCTCAACACGTACATTGATCATCCAATGTAGAATTGTAGTTTGATTGATCATCCATTGTAGCTCGAGTAAGGTGCAACAAAAACTTGTGTAAGGAGATTAAAAAAAAAGAAAAGTATGCACTTGAATAGTACGGTAGCGAATCAAATGTGTGGGTAAAAAACAACACCGAATTATCTGGTGATCTCTGTTTCTGCACTTGTATATGTGTATAATATGCCTAGTTCTTCACACTAGGGCTATTTATACCCCATTTACGGGCCATTGGAAGGGTGTTACAGGTGGGAAAAGGTATATACTTGTGTAGTTGGGTTCTACACATATTTGAATGCTTTTGCTATCAAAAGTGCTCATGAGAAAATTAAGGCATCGATGCTAAGATTTTCAATGAATGCTTAGTGTTGATATTAAGATATGATGTAACTTGAGGATGACTCAATACGGTAATGATAGTGAGAAAAGGGTTTCGAAGAACCAAGCGAGGGTCAAGGACAAGCAAGGGCTCGCGCGCTGATGGACTAAGATGAAGAAAATAGTAATTGCATTGAGTCAAAGTACATACACGCATACTCAGCCCTCTAAAGGCACACGCATACGCCCTCTGTAAGCATTACCCCATCACACCATATAACAAGAAATACAATACACTTCTCACTCCAAAAGGAATACAATTCTAGATTTAGGATAAGACAATTTTTTAAGTTTACCATATTAGAGAAAAAATATTAATATTCATATCTTTAAATATGTTTACTATAAAAATATGTTTTTGAATTAATTGATTCTTACTTATTTGATATCATAAATGTTTATATTAATTTGTAGATTATATGTTTGAAATTTTGATTTTCGAAGAACTGAGAATTGTATTCGTTTTTTGAACGGATGGAGCAGTTACTCCTAAATGAAATAAACAAAATCTAATTGATTTGATTGTCACCTGTAACCAGACGACGTTACAAAAGTATATATATCACATTATTAAATCCATACTAACTAATATTGTCTCTGTTTGCTCTCGATTTCTCGAACTATATGGGGACACGACGCCCTCAGCCGTACGAATCCTTCGGTTTCCTTGACACGTTCCCAAATATACTCCGGCGCGGCATATCGGGCGCAGGCGTCCTGCAGCAGCTGGCAGTCGTACCTGACCGCCATGGACAGGATGTCCGCCACCGTGACGGCGTCACCAACGTGCAGAGCCACTCCTCGCACCTGAGCTTGAGCCTCTCCACGTCGTACCTCTCCGCGGCGAAGAGCATGGCCCCCACCGTCTCGTCCGTCGGCTCCACGTAGGTCATGTCCGGCAGCTGGTCCGTGTACACGATGTGCAGCAGCGCCTCGAACGCGTTGGCCGTCATCTCCTCGTCCTCGTTCTGTATGTTCCGCCAGAGGTTGTCCTGCCTGTCGTTGAGCTCCCGCACCTGCTGCTGGAACACCCGCGAGCGCGCCGCGAGCACGCACGAGTGCGCGCGGAAGGGGGTGCCGCCGACCTCGTACGTGATGTCCGAGCACTCCTTGCTGTTGAGGAGCCAGAGGAAGGCCGCGGGGAGGTCGTCCGGCGGGACGGTGATCGTCGGCTGCTCCGCGAGGAGCGGGCTCGGCGGCTTCCCTCTGAACACGCCGAGCCTGCACCGGACGACCAGGCGGTCGTCGCTGCTCATCTGCTGGAGGTCCGCAGCCGCGCGCTGGAGGCCGAGGTGCTCGGAGTTGCCCGCGTCGTTGGCGAACGTCACCCTCGCCTTGGCGGACTTGTTCCTTGCAGCGTCCGCGAAGTTGAGCAGCTCGAACGTGAATTCGGCCGTCGTCTCCGGCTCGCCGGACTTCCCACGGGCCAGAAAGCAGGACACTCTGTCCCTGCTGCCGTCGTCGTGCTCGTTGGGGTACACCTTGATGTACCAGTTGCCCTCGCCGACGCGGAACTGGGCGGAGCGCACGCACTCGCCGCACTGCAGCGACGCCTTCTTCGCCGAGAAACTCGCGATGGTGAGCGTGTGGGACCCGGACACGATCTCCGGCGCGCGGGTGGAAGTGGAGCTGGAAGCCCCCACGTCCATGTATGGCGCGGAGCTTTCGGAAACGGACGACGTCGTAGGGACGTCCGTGGCGACGCCGCCGCCGCCGCCGCCAGCCTTGCGGTTGCGGGCCGTGAGTCTCCACGGGAACGCAGACGGCTTTGACACCACCATGGCGTCGACGCGCAGTGTGCACCGGACCGTGAGGCTGTCCGTGTGAAGGCACGACGACGCCTCCATCTCCCGCCTTCTGGCGAACTCAACGTAGCCCTTGCTGTGCCCGTGTTCGCGCACCGCCAGCGTGCTCCTGGCGGTGGCGTCATCGAAGACGGTGTCCCGGCCGGTCGCGTCCAAGATCGCTACCGTGAGCTCGAAGCGGCCGAACGCCTCCGTGCGGCACTTGACGAAGACGGCGACGAAGTCGCCCGTACGTGTCGGGGCTGAGGCCCGCCGGGTATACCTGGATGCGCCAGGAACGGCCATGGAAGTCGAAGGGCTCAGCCTGTTCGCTCGCTCGTAAACGATCGTAAATTTCCAGTTAGGAACAGTGTTTTTCTCTAACACCAAACCAGTCAGCAGTAAATAATCCACGATACGATACGGTCTCCCGAACAGGTCGTTGGACTTGAGCACCCCTCCGGCGGGTAGCCGCGCCGCCGCGTTGGAGTGTGCGCGCGCGCATGTGCGTGTGTGTATATATATATATATAGAGAAGAGAGAGAGAGAGTGTATTCGCTAGCTACAAAATAAGTTATTCCGTAGCCACCTCTATTTACGATAATTTTATATACTAATTTACGATAATGTCAATAACATATTTACGATAGTTGGGTTGCTATAACACATGGAAATATTTACCATAACATTATAGTAAACTACTTAGTATGGAGTTACTATAATCTCGTAAATTAACATAGCAATTATCGTAACTCAAAGTGGCTACAGAATAAGTTATTTTGTAGCCAGCTACAGTATGTTAATTTACGAGATTATAGTAACTCCATACTAAGTGGTTTACTATAACGTTGTGGTAAATATCTCCGTGTGTTATAGTAACCCAACTATCGTAAATATGTATTGACATTATCGTAAATTAGTATATAAAATTATCGTAAATGAAGCTGGCTACAAAATAACTTATTCTGTAGCCACTTTGAGTTACGATAATTACTATATTAATTTACGAGATTATAGTAACTCCTTACTAAGTGGTTTACTGTAACGTTATAGTAAATATCCTTATGTGTTATAGTAACCCAACTATCGTAAATATGTATTGACATTATCGTAAATTATTATATAAATATATATATAGTAATACTCTATATATTAGGCGACATATTACTCTATATATATATAGTAATATCCTTAGGAAGGCCACGGAGAGTTTGGTGGCTGACATATTAGGCGAATATCAAATCCTCCTAGCTTAGCGGACTCACAAAATTGTGGGTCATCCAATTTCAAGTGGGAAGGTGCATTGTCCTGTTAAATGAATATTGGTTTACTCACATCATCTCTTGGCCACTTAGCTCTAATGGCGGGCAACACTTGGTTGATCATAAAACCTCTAATCACTTCTCTAGTGATCGAAGTTATGGGCTTCATAACCAAGTCTCCACGGACACGACCGGTCCTCTCATTTCCTCTTTGAGCCGCTTCATATTGAACAAGTGGAAAACAACCAATCCTACCATCAAAAATACAATTCCCATCCCTAACCCTTGGCCAAGCGCAAACACACGAGAACATGAGCCTAGGGATGTAGTTCTTATTCTTACAAGTCCGATGGGGTTCATCTTCTTCGGGTAGCAAATAATATCTTTCAGATTTTTGATGTAGGTGGAACCATTTCTCATCAATGAACACAAAGTCATACAACTCCTTAAACCTTGGATCATCAAGCAACTCCCTATTAACCATGTCAACACACCATTGTAACCTAGACTCCTTGTTAGGTTGAGTGAGATATGGTTTGATGCTACTAAAGTGGTGCCTAATCAATCCTTTTTTCAAATACCTTTGAACCCTGCATTTGCTCATGTTTAGTTTGGAGCACATATCCTCTATAGTCATTCTTTCCTTTAGAGGAATGTTTCGCAATGCTTCCAAATCAAAAGGTATTGCTTTACGTCCAACTCTACCCTTCTTTAGACTAGAAACCACAACCGGAACAGAGCTAGAAAGTTGTGTTTTACCTCGGTTCCAAACACGCTGAGCTGTCCGTTTATGAATGTCAAATTGAGCAGCAACAAATGCAATGTCTTCCTTGTGTAGTATACCATTGTTGCTTCTAGCCAACAAAGCTTGGTAAACTTGTTTTCGGACCTCTTCACTCATTTCTTTCCTTCGATTGCGTGGTTGAACTTGTTCTTCCACGGTTGGGTTGTCCACATCATGTTCTGTTAAAAGAAAACAAGCATTCATATTGTTCTGCATGTTCTAGCTTTCATAGGAGAAAAAAAGCTTGGCCACAGCATGTTCTATTTATAGGGAAAAACACAAAGACATTCCTCCAATATCATGTTGTATTTTTAAGATAAAAAGAAACACATTCACGGCATGTTCTATTTATAGGGGGGAAAAACAAACACTTTCATGCGATACTTATTCACGGCATGTTCTAATTATAGGGGGGAAAACAAACACTTTCATGGAGTAGCATCATGAGCATGGATCTAGTACAAGAATGTGATTGTGACAAAAAAAATTACCAGCAAGATTTTGTACAAAGTCCAAATCAACTACACCGAACTCATCTAGTGGTAGGTTTAAATCCAGTACTGTAAAAAAAACAATAATGAGATCTGAAATAATATGAACAAGCAACGAACGAATAGATCGAAGTGATGCATTTACCGTCGTCTTGTTGCCCTTGGAGATCAAACACGCCGTCGGCATCATTGGCGCCGTCGTATTCTGGCTCGTTGAAATCAAACACGTCATTCGGGTTGGGGCCATCATCTTCTTATGCCGGAAAGTTGAGATCACCTCACGTTAATGCAGTGAATATCAAAAAAAATGAAAGAAAAATGAGTAAGAATGAGCACATTACCATTGTTGTTGTGGTCCTCCAGTATAGGCTCGTTGAGATTGAAGAATGAGCCGTCGTCATCTTCCTCCATACGAACATTCAGATCGAAGCCATGGAGGACATGGCTGGATGAACAAGCCATGGCTGGATGAACAAGCAAGTGAAGAGAAGAAGCTAAGCCATGGCTGGATGAACAAGCAAGTGAAGAACAGGCAAGGCAAGGCAGTAGTACCGGCGTTTTAATGCAGCAGGCAGGCGAGCCGTCGGACCAGCTGGCTGTGAGCGCGTGTCAAACGAACGAAAATGTCGCGCCTAAACGCGCCCAAGCGAAACAAACCAGCGAACGAAAAAATTAAACTAGCGAACGAAATATTCGCGCGGCCACGCGCCATCGGCAAAAATTTGTGCTGCATAGGGTGCACAGACACGCCTAAACGCGAGCCAGCCAGCCAGCATGCACGCGAGAGCAAGCAGCGACGTGCACAGGGCCATGCAAATTCCCCATGCAAAATCCACGTAGAGGTCAAACATATAATGCGGCCATGGAGTTCGATCCCTGGACCTCCAGCCTCGGGCCGTGGAGAGCTTACTAGTCGGGCTATTAAGAATTGTTGTATAGGAGACACCCGCGGGCCTATTTAATAAGGGCAAAGAAGGAAAACTCCCTTCTAATTGATTACTCTTTGGCACTCCTTGGTATGCGCAATCATGTCCTAAACGACTTCTAATACCAGTATGGAGGGAGTATATACACGCGCCAGATATATGGCATGAAAAACGTGTTCCACCGTGTCTCGGCGTAAGTATAGAGGTAGTAGAGGAACTCCTTGTGTAAAGGGCATACGAGGAGTCCGTGGAGACTGGCGAGCCCGACCCGTGCGTGCGTTTCTATATTCTATCCTGCTGACGGTGCAGCACTTGTGTAACTAGCTACCATATTGACGGAGAACTAATTAATCTCGCGTCGAGTGCAAGCGTCCCTAGTTAATACCATCTAGTAGATGGGTTCTTGTCTCTCGGCCGCCGGAGACGGCGAGCAGGCGTCGGCGTCGAGCGTGTCCGGCACCCACCAGTTCACGATCCGGGGCTACAGCGCGACCAAAGGCATCGGCGTCGGCAAGTCCATCCTCTCATGGTACTTCACCGTCGACGGCCGCACGTTGTTCGTGCGCTACTACCCCGACGGCTACAACTTCCAGTCGTCAGGGTTCATCGCCTTCTACGTGCAGACGCTCTACAAGCCAGTGTGCCGCCCCGTCCGCGCCCGCTTCACCTTCGAGCTCCTCAGGCCCGACGGCAGCGTCGCCTACGCGCTCCGCTCCGACCGGCCGTGCAACTTCGACACGCACTGCAACAGCTGGGGGATCCGCGCCTTCGTCGCCCGGAACGATCTCGAGGGCGCGTACCTGGGCGTCCTCCACCAGGACGCCATCAAGGTGCGCTGCACCGTCGAGGTCGTCAATAGCCAGAGGAAGCGCCGCGGCGGTGGTCGTCAGGCCACCGTGGCGTCGGCGTCGGACTACGCGGCGAACGCCATCAGGTTCTTCATCAGCGGCACGGCGCCATTCGACGTCAAGTTCTCCGTGGGCGGCGTGACCTTCGAGGCGCACGCGCTGGTGGTCGCGGCGCAGTCCGAGTGGTTCGCGGCGGCGCTCTACGGCCACGGGGGCGGCGAGAGGTGGGTGGAGGCGGGGCTGCCGTGCATACCCATCTCCGGGACGACCCCGGAGGCGTTCCAGGGCGTGCTCCACTACGTGTACCACGACGCGCTGCCGGAGGAGCTGATCAAGGCCAAGGGCGAGGCCGTCATGATGCCGCAGCTGTTCGAGGCCGCCGACATGTTCCTCGTCGGGAGGATGAAGGCGATGTGCGCCAGCCGACTGCGCCAGTTCATCAACGACGACACCGTGCGGAGCATCATGGAGCTGGCGCAGGCGCACTCCTGCGAGGAGCTCCAGCAGGCGTGCCAGAAGCACTTGGGCCGCCCTAGGCCGTAGGCGAACTCCTGCAAGGAGCTCCAGTTTAGTAGAGTACTATCTAGAAGCTAGAGTCTCCTTCCATTATCTAAGCCCTTGTTTAGTTCTCCAAAAGTGCACTATGTAAAGAGAGGATTCCCCGTCACATCAAACTTGCGGTACATGTATGGAGTACTAAATGTAGACGAAATCAAAAACTAATTGCACAGTTTGCTTTAACTTTGCGAGACGAATCTTTTGAGCCTAATTAGTCAATGTTTGGACAATAATTCACAAATACAAACGAAATGCTACAATGGAGAATCGTGCACTATGAGGTGTAAACTTTGCCGAACTAAACGCGCCCTAAATTGAATTACTAGTAGACCTCGTTTTGGGGGAAATTGTTGTTTCCGAGATGCTAGCGCCCAGATGCGTCCAAATGCAGCTCCCACCAGCCAGCTGTTAAACAATTCCACCAACTGTCACCTGGCGTCGTGTCCCATCAACGGAAATCCGATCTCAAGCTGCTCGTAGTAACGGAACAACGAAGCAGTATCCTGCCCTGCCCGCATAATAAGGAAGGAGAGAGCGTGCGCTCACGTCCACGTTGCCATCCCTCAGCGCACCCCCTCATCCACCTGCCCCCGCTGCGCCCCTCTACAGTTTGAGAAGGATGCAAGGTAGCAGAAGGCGAGGAGCAGACATCGAGGCGTGCAGCAAAAGACAAGGACGGAGCACCTGATCTACTTTTAAAATATCTAGATACAATACTTGCAACATTAGTATGAAGACAAGTGAAACACTTAAAACATGCTTCTAAAACACTTGCAAAACACACGAAAAAACACTTGAAACCATTGCAAACATACGCAACATCCACATAAAACACTCTCTACATACGTGTGAAATATACACAACATGCAGATAAACACTCATGCAACATACATCGAAAAAAACAGATGAAACATTGGGAACATACTTTTGCAACATACTAACTATTGCAACGTATGCAATATCCCGATCTAATTTTGCAACATCCTGCACCACTTGAAACAAACGCTTGCAACATGCGCTTTTTAAGCGCAACATCTACTTGCTGCTTACGAAATGGAGGCTCGTCGGCGTGTGGAGTTCACCAGAGGCAGCCTGCCGTCGCCACCATCGACCGGATCGACTCTGCTCACGAGGCTAGTGGGGACCCCTTCGTGGCCGCCATTATCCTAGGCTCCATGCAGGATAGCAGCCCCTGTAGTCGGCGCCATAGTCCCCACCACCATCGGATCTCTTGTCGCTGCAGTGGATATGGTGGAAGGAGCAGTGAGGCGGAGTGGGACGGAGGCGCAAGCGGTGCCGCGCGATGCGGGCGAGCAACACGAGCGGGTTGTCCGTCCGGACGGACGGACACCCGGGTCTAATCATCATCGTTGTTGATTGATATTATTCTTCTTTGCGGATCATTCCTTTTGTAATGTCAAATTGTCATGCTTTTGGTTGTCTTTAGCAACTCAAATCTAACTCTTTGATTTGTTCTAGCCTACAGGAGACCAGGAGGTTTGTATTGTGAGAAAACTAAAATCAGAGAAATATTAATCCAGTTCATATGTGAAAATTATATTGCTAGTCCTTGAGAAAACAATTATTTATTAAAAAATAGATATGAAAGGGAGTCCTTGAGACATGCAGAGGTTCATCAAGCACAAATATCTTCCCTTTCATATCCGTTTTAAGAAATAATTGTTTTACAGTAGGAATAGGATGGCCGGGAATTTAAGCCTCTGTAGTAGTCTTGTTTTTATGGACCAAGTCAAAAACCAGGTTTTGAACTTTTTGTTGACATGTTTTGGAGATTCTCTTAGGTTTGGTTGGCAATGTCGCTACGTCTACATGCTCATGGGATGGTAATAACGGATGCACACCATGTGCTCGCTGGTTTGTCCCAACGAGATGATCAACTGATTCAGTAAACTAACCAAATAACCATGCCTAGGTTTATGCAGAAATAAGGATGATTGCCATATCTATTTATATATCTTATTTTTTCAATCCTCACAAGCAAATCTGTCTTTACATACATTCTCCACTAGATGGTGTTTGGTTCATTCTCCACTAAGATGGTGTTTGGTTCATTTTTGGAAGTGATAATATTAATATAAATGGATCACCCCGTTATCGGTTTGAGATAAACAGAAATCAAGCTTTGTTTGGTTAGCTCCCGAGGAGAGTGATGTGCGGGTCGTAATTGTTAACGCCGAAGGACGGACAATATCATTCTTTTGAAGGCTCGTATATGATACCACGCCAACCAATCACATGGCAACCAAACTAAATGTTAAGTAATGTGACTCAATCCCGCTGTAAACCGATAGCGGGCTAGGGCAAAAAGCTTAAACGAAACACGCTCTAAGTACCCTACTACCTTGAATACTCCCTGAACAAGTTTATGATAGATTAGTATGACAGAGAAAATACCATACTACCTTTTATTGATTGGAGTAGTTGCATAGTTGCACACTGATTGGTGACTATTTTGGGAAATTCAATCTTTGGAGTCTCATGGGATGGGAAATTTGAGGTTGTGTTAGTGGAAAAGATGGAGATGGGAGGGGTGCAGTAAATACAAGGAGTTTCTGAGAAAAATAATCCTAGAGTGTAGACAAATTTTTAGACTACGAATCTATTTATCTAGGGATAGATGAAGTATTCATATCATCCCAGTTAAGTGTAACTTTGTAAGGTACTGTTTGATTGGGAGATATAGTGCGACGGGACAGTTCAGATTCAATTTTGAGGATCTCACTATTTGGTTGAGAGACTGAGATAGTCCCTATCATCTGTTTGGTTTGGAGACATGTGGAAGTGAGATTTGACTATGACATATGGGACCTACCTGTCAACATTTTTTATTTTTATTCTTCCTCTTTTCTTCCCGACCTCTCCGTCCGCATCCATCTCCCACGCGACGGGTCCTGCGCGCTCGCGCCGCCCGCAGCCCATCGCTGCTGCTGTGACTGAAGTCCACGTCATCACTCTGTTATGCACAATACTACTGTCATCCCTCTTGATTACAGTAATTTTTTTAGAAAACCTCTCGTGACACGGAGTTTTTACTGATATATATGCTGCCCTCGTGTAGATTCCCTGCTCCCGACGACCCATCGACGCCGTCCATGCTGTCCTCCTCCCCGGCGCCGCCACAAGAGGGCGCCGCCGCCCCCTCCTCCTGGGCGGAAGCCGCGTCCTCGGCGGCGCTCCGGCACTACCGCTCCCTGCCCAAGAAAGGGAAACCGCAGGGGCGCGAGTCCACGGTCCTCGCCGCCTTCCTCCTCTCCTCCCTGCAGGACCCGCACAGCCTCACTGTCCTCTCCATGGGCACCGGCACCAAGTGCCTCGGCGCCTCGATGCTCAGCGCCCGCGGGGACCTCGTCCACGACGCGCACGCCGAGGTCATCGCTCGCCGCGCGCTGCTCCGCCTCGTCTACTCTGAGATCGGCCGCGGCGCCCCGCCTGAGTGGCTGGTTGCTTCCGTGGATGGTGGGAGATGGAGGCTGAGGGATGGGCATTGCCTTCATCTCTACATCACCCAACTCCCATGTATGTGCCATGGCAACGAGTAAACACTGATGTTCTTCTGTTTGGATTTCGATTGCTTGTCCTAGAGCATGCTATGTAGGAGTAGAAGACAATGCTGAGCTAGTAATAGCTAAAATTTGCATTGGCCGGACTAATTGATCAGCAACCCTTCATCTGAATGTAAATTGGTACTTCTGCTGCTGCACTTTCTGAGACCTGTCCTATCATTTTTCGAGTCTGTTGTGGCAATATCCTGAAATAGTTTAATTACAGAACATAGTTTGATGGTTCCAGTTCATTTGGTAAATTTTTCTAGGTGGAGTCATGCCAGTACCGCTGTCACAGTCGGAGTTACCAAGGGAACAACTGGATAGTGTGAATGGAGGTATGCTTCTATCTTGATGTTGGTGTTATGCATAGCAGTACTTTCAAGTTTTGTGCTGGTCATTTTCAAGTTTTAGGTATGGTAGTGTCTTCCATGGTCCATGGCCTGGTAACAATTAGTTTGAGAATTATTTAGTTTACCAATCCGATGGATTTTAGTTATGATGGTTACATTATTTTGTTTGCTGCTCTGATCAGGGAAAAAAAATAGTAGCATGGAAGTGTGGTGCTCCTAGCGATGAATTTGACCTCCCTGCAACTGTCCAACTAAACTGGAACAGTGGAACTGGACTGCTTACATTCAGCCTAACTGGCGCTGCAAGAGCCAGCCAGCAACATCTGCAGCCCAAACAGTGGTTGTGACTGTTGCTGCAGCCATGCAGAAGCAAACAGCCGGAGCTTGCTCTCAGTTCTTCAACTGCAGCCGATTGGCTGCGCAGTACAGCCACAGCGCAAACAGCGCTTTAAGTAGAAGCGAGCAGAGTTTGATACGGTCTGTAGGTGTTTTAAACAGCGCAAACAACACAGTTTTTCAATGCTTAACGGGGGATCATGTTTAAACTCTGTAGGTGTTTGATACGGTCTGCGAGATTGGTAATGTTCGCCTTTGTTTCCATTGGTTCTACCAACAGAAATTGAATTCATTGTATTGCCGCAATTTAACAAAACTATATTTCCTCCTATTAATTTGCCATATATGTTCTAATATAAGTATACTACTCTGCATGTATATCAGATATTAGCTTTGTTCAGAGGAAGCCAGGGCGGGGTGATACAACATTATCCATGAGCTGCTTTGACAAAATCACCCGCTGGAGTCTTGTAGGAATTCAAGGTTCGGTGTCCATGACAGTCTATGAATCAATTACACTTCTACGGATAAGATCAGAAATTTTTAACATGAGCTATTCATCATGTAACTGTAGTTATGATATGTGGAACTTCTGGCTTCTATGTGAACAGTAGAATTGGCTATGCATCATCAATTCAGCATTGCTATTTTCTTGCATCCCATTACTTCTTTTGTTATGTTATGCACTTTAGTGATTACAAAGTGCCCAAATGGGATAAATCCTCTTTCTGTGCGTTCTTCAACAGGTGCATTGCTGTCACATATACTGGAACCCTTGTATTTGTCCACCATTACTATTGGACAATTACCTGATGGTGCTCCTGAAGGGTTCTCTATTGAAAATAATATCAAGAAAGCTCTCGATGCTCGCCTGTCCTCTCTATCCAGCAAATTGCCACCTCCTTTTAAAACTCAGAGGGTTGGTCATCCTTTTCTTTTGTTCCAGTAACTTCTCCATGATAATGAATCATTTCTATCTGCAGCCAAAGGTTTTTGAGGCACCTGTCCCACCAACAGAGTTTCAACAGATTTCTGGAGACGTACCCCCCTTGACATGCGGGTAGTATACGGTTTGTTCCATGAGCTGGACATGTTTCACCCTTCTGTCTTTTTTCTTTAAGCATCCGTTTATTGTGCCATTCTTTTTTACTGAAGTATTACCGTTGTCATTTATCTTTTACTAGGTACTCGATCTGTTGGAATAAATCCGGTTTGCATGAAGTTGTCTTAGGAACAACTGGTAGGAAACAAGGAACGTCTTCAAAGGCGGCACATTTGCCCTCCACCGAGTCATTGCTCTGCAAGTAAGAGGGTCCTTCCTTCCGTTAATTTCTTCCATCGCAATTCTGATGCAAAACTGTTGAGAGGACTGTGTGTTGACTGCTGTCCCAGGAGAAGACTGCTAGAAGCATTCATGTCCCTTGAACATCCATTGGTAGGGCAATTCAAGTGTGAGGAGCTATCTTACCGTGCACTAAAGGTATTTCGTGATCTCTTGGATAAACTGATGTTTAATAACACATAGCGTTTGAATTCCGCTAGGTGCTTCCTATTTATTCACCTGCTACCATCCAAGAATCGATTATAGACGTGTCTGATTTTCTATTCCTGTTGCAGGATACGGCTCATGAATATCGTCACACGCTTGAGCTCCTCAGGAAGGCCCCATTTTTTGGCTGCTGGCGAGCTAAGCCTACATTTGTTGATTCGTTTGCAGTTTCACGGTGATGGCTCATGAACTGGTGAATACCGTCACCTTGCTTCTTTTTATTTATTTATTTAAAAAACATAGGACTGGTCCAGTTTTGTTCTGTGTGAATGAATATGTATATGTTGGTGGTGGTCCATGAATGAATCAAACTGAATATATGCATGCGTGCAGCTGTCACTTGATTCCAAGCACCCCTCCCCTGTATTTTATGATTTGATCATCTTAACTTCCTACTGCCTCCGCGTACTCTGTGAGTACATGACAGTGGCATAGAAATTCCAACAAGGGCCGGGTAGGAATGCAGGACCTAGCCAGTAGCCACTGATTCCATAAAATCACGCGTCTGGGAAGGAACAAAAACTATAATAACAAAAAAGAAGAGAAATCAATATGGGCTGAATTTTCATGGTGTATACGTATGCAGCCCATCTCCACCTCAACTTGCTATCTTGTCTGGTTGGTGAACCTGAGAGGTAAAACATCAGTTCTCTGTCTCTCGGACAAATTCTGAACGAAAGGATTTCAAGTTCTTTTACTCGAGATGTCAAGTTTATCAGGAGGTGGCGCGAGCACTGAATAACTGACTTGCCTCTCTGCTCTCTTACCGGCTAGTAGCAAAAATTCCTGGAGGGAGCCTGCGCTGCCCTGCGCCGAGCTTTTCAAGTTCCGTTCATTGAAATTGGTAGACCGCCAATGACTCAGGATCTGCCTGACTGTCTCTGTCCATCAATCAATGATGGAGGCAGAACAGATGGGCTTGTGGCCGCGGCCACCACGTGACCCGTGAACGAAGCGCCATGCCAACCACGTCATCCTCATCAGAAAGGCGATTTGCTGATCCCATATGAATCTGATGGTCCTCTCGACCTCCTGCTGGTAGGTGGTGGCAGCGGATGGCTCATGCTTGCCTGGATGAGGAGCAAGCACGAGAGGGAAGAGAGACGGTGGGCGTCTCAGTCTGGCTCTCAGCCAAAGTAGAGTGACTTCCATCCGGGAAGGGAAAGGAAAGAGATCGTGATAGCACGCTTAATCGGGCGGGCAACACCAACGCCCGTCGGCGAAACGGCTCCGAAAGCAATCAATCTATCAATGCATCAATCAGTGAGTCCAAACCCTGGAAAATCTCCCCTTTCGTGCAAGCTACTGAACTCGCTCGCCTGCTGGAACGGACAATCCTGGCAACGCATGTGGCCCGCCCTCGTTATCCTCCTTTTTTTGGTCTGCAACTGCAAATGTCTACTGACAGGATCACAGCCGCTGGTTGGACTCGTCAGAGAACTCGCAAGACCCGGCAGCTCGTCCTGCTTCGTACTACCAGTAGCACGAAAACCAGGGCGCCACGCTTAGCCCGATCCCGGGCCGGCGTTCCTGTCGATGAGACAAAAGTCTCCGCCCGCCCACGCCCACGCCCACGCCCACGCCCAAGGTCTTCGAGCCGGCCTCTCCAAGCCACCCACCAATACGGTGACAAGGATTGCTAGCGCCGATGAGCTATGCTATCCTCTTTGATCTTTGCTCACTATTAGTCCACGCTAGTCTTCAGTCCTCTCACACGGCTACACCAGCCAGTACCGAGTAGTACAGGCTTTCAGGTTTCCTCCAGCGCCGCTGGCCAATGGCGCAGCACCACGGCAGCTACTCCCTGGAGGTCGCCGCCGCCGGCTCCGAGCTCGACGACGACGGCCACGCCGCGCGAACTGGTACCACCACCACCACCACTGGCACCCTCTCTCTCATGCGCCTTGCGTCCGTCGGCGGCAGTAGTAGTCGCGCTAACAAATCCCCCCCTGGTTTCTTTGATCGTTAATTCTCGTCGGTCCATGGGCGGCGTCAGGCAACCTATGGACCTGCTTCGCGCACATCATCACCGCCATAATCGGCTGCGGCGTGCTGGCGCTCTCGTGGAGCGTCGCGCAGCTGGGCTGGGTGGGCGGCCCCGTCGCCATGCTCTGCTTCGCCTTCGTCACCTACCTCTCCGCCTTCCTCCTCTCCCACTGCTACAGGTCCCCCGTCTCTGACGGTGACGACTCCCAGAAACGCCAGAGGAACTACACCTACATGGACGCCGTCAGGACGCACCTGGGTACGTTACCTCAAGTCTTTTCTTGCGTTGCGACCGTGCGTCTTTGTTCTTGTTCCTGTGACTCCTGTCGTCTTTGTTCTCAGCTCCGTGTATAGTACTGTATGTGCCTTTGCTCACTGCTATCTTTCTATGGCGACTGATGAGCAACGCGTGCAGGGGAGAAGCGCACCTGGCTCTGCGGCCTGTTGCAGTACCTCAACCTGTACGGGACGGCAATCGCCTACACCATCACCACGGCGACTTGCCTCAGGTACGTACCCCGATCCATTCCCGCTCTTCGATGTCCTGGATATGTTTTCCACTTGGCAGCCGGGCCAGCCATGCACGGTAATGCTATGCTAGCCTAGCTCCGCTGCTGAGATCATGAGGGCACACTGTGGCAGGGCGATCATGAGGGCCAACTGCTACCACAGCCAAGGGCACGACGCACCCTGCGGCGCCGGCGGTGATCACCTCTACATGCTGCTCTTCGGGGCGGCCCAGGTGGTGCTGTCCTTCATACCCAACTTCCACAACATGGCATGGCTCTCTGTCGTCGCCGCCGTCATGTCCTTCACCTACTCCACCATCGGCCTCGGCCTCGGCCTCGCCAAGACCATAGGTAACTGACATCATGTGCTTGACAATTTTGGTAGAGGTTCAGCAGCATTGATGCAGGCTTGGATGTGAATATTCTTGTGCGTATATATCGAACCGATCAGAAAATGGGGCGATCAAAGGAAGCGTCGCCGGAGTTCCGATGAGCACCCCGGCGCAGAAAATCTGGCGAGTCGCGCAGGCCATCGGCGACATCGCATTCGCCTACCCGTACACCATTGTCCTGCTGGAGATACAGGTATGCAGCCATCTTCACTTTTCAGAGCGTGAACGTGTTAGTTAAAGGCTAAAGCAGCGTGAGTGTTCACTGTTCAGTGGATAGTACTGGTATATATGTTTTTGCTGACAACTCGCAATTAATTAAACAGGACACGCTCAAATCGACGCCACCTGAGAGCGAGACGATGCGGAAGGGGAACGTCATCGCGGTCCTGGCCACCACATTCTTCTACCTCGCCGTGAGCTGCTTCGGGTACGCCGCCTTCGGCAACGCCGCGCCGGGCAACCTGCTCACCGGCTTCGGCTTCTACGAGCCCTACTGGCTCATCGACTTCGCCAACGCCTGCATCGTGCTCCACCTGCTTGGTGGCTACCAGGTATGTAGCAAGTGACACAGCACACAGGACACGCACGCTGCCACGCTCATGTCGCCACTCGCCACCGCCTGCAATGCAAGCAAAAAAGAACAGCGCTAGTTTTCTCTGACAAAACAAAGTCGTCACTTGAGAGACTTGGCTCTGTTTCATGCAGATGTTCAGCCAGCAGATCTTCACCTTCGCGGACCGGTCCTTCGCGGCCAGGTTCCCGAACAGCGCGTTCGTGAACAAATCCTACGCCGTGAAGGTGCCCGGCGTGCCGGCGTCGTGGAGCTACAGGCTGAACCTGCAGCGGGTGTGCTTCCGGACGGCGTACGTGGCGAGCACCACGGGGCTGGCCCTGCTCTTCCCCTACTTCAACGAGGTGCTGGGCGTGCTGGGCGCCATCGTCTTCTGGCCCCTCGCCATCTACCTCCCCGTCGAGATGTACTGCGTCCAGCGCGGGGTCCGGCCGTGGACGCGGACGTGGGTCGCGCTCCAGGCATTCAGCGCCGTCTGCTTCGTCGTCGGCACCTTCGCCTTCGTCGGCTCCGTGGAGGGCGTCATCCGCAAGAGGCTCGGCTAGTGTTGTGTGCTAGACTGCTAGTAGTGCCTTTTCTGTCATGCATGTCACGATCGAAGTGTAAAGAGAGCAAACTGTACCTAAGTTTTTTTTTATTTCCCTGTGTTGTGTGTTCGTTTTAGCCATGATGATTGATGAATATATATCTAACCGTGCGTGTTTATTAGATCCAAAAGCTCTTTGTTTATTGGTGATACTGTTCACCAGGTCGTTGTCTTTAATCCATGGCAAGAGGTTTGTTTGGTTGCTCGTAGAAGGGGCCACCTTGCACTGATGTGTGCGTATTAGTAATCTTTGGGAGAATAAGGTTAGGTGTTTATATTCAAAACCAAAAGAAAAGAACAAGGTTAGGTTGCCCGCATCAATATGCTGTTATGCCTAGATCAAGCATCTGTTGTTCATGTTAAATCGCATGCAGATTCTACATGATGGCTACTTGGATACACATACACAAGATTGAGCTTCCCCGACTAGTTTGCGAATCCTAAGAGCATATGTAGCTGAACTCTCGCCTAGCCTCCTGTCTTCCTTTGAGCCCCTCATTCCTCCACTCTTCTTTCTCTCTTCCCATAAAACTGATAAGTGGGGCCGATTAGTAAGGCTCATGGCATATATAGTGTAAAGTAGGGAAGAGTTAGGAGATCGTTCGAGTGCGTTGAGAAATAGGAGTTGAAATATGGATGAGTAACTCTCATTTGAGGTGATAACCGGCCAAAATATGAGGCATCGGTTAGAGCTGCTCTAAGACAGTTAGATTTTTTCAGGAGCGCCGATGAACTGAAGAGCAGGTCTTGAAACTGTGAGCATGATTTTTTTTTTTGGAAACACACATGTGCAATTAATTGTTGTGCAGATCGTCATTTTATTAAGTCGCTCCAATGCATCAGCTAAGGTAGACTATTGAGAATCTAATCCTGCAAATACCTAATTCTTCGAGACTCCAAGAATAAAAAAACCTTGTTATACACATTTTGTACTGAACTTTTATATTATGAAGAAATCCCATTACTACAAAATAATGGACAATCGTTTTGTAATGGAACATGATCATGAGATATAGTATAGTATGCAAGAGGTCGCGGACGCGGGGGAGGCCGTGGTCCTTGGACGGAAGATGATGGAGAGGAGATGGATACCTCACAGGACGAAGATGCAGACATGTATATGACTCATGAATCTAGGAAAAGAGATGGCACGGAGGTGGGAGGTATAGGGCGTGTGGCTCAGCAAGTTAATCTACTGGAACACACCCCTCATCTGGACACCAACACTAGTCCATTGAAGGAGCAGGAGAAGAAACGTCTCAGAAGAAGTGGTGGCAAGGGGAAGGACACAAACAACAATTCTGCAAAATCGGCGCTCTCCTTTGAGGAGAGTGACCGGGCATAATGAAAATCTTGGCTTAGAACTGCCGCGGGCTCACAAGTGCTCGGGCAGTGTGAGCGCTTCTGGATTTATAGAAGCGCGAGAGACCAGATGTGTTTTCCTTTCTGAAACACATCTGGGAAAGGCGAAGGCAAAAAATTTGAGGAGGAAATTGCAATGTGATCATTACATCATCCATGAAAGTGGTGGGCGTAGTGGTGGGTTGCTGATGCTATGGAGGAAAGAGACGTCAATTCAAGTGCAAGATGTTTCAGAATATTTTATTGATGTGCTGGTTAATGATAGAAGGGAATGGAGGCTCATCGGAATATACGGTGAACCACGCTAGGAGCATAAAGATAAAACTTGTTGGGCCTTGTGTGCCCTCCATGGAAGGATGGATAAGCCATGGATGGCGTTAGGAGATTTTAATGAGATCCTATTTCATCATGAAAAGGAGGAGGGAGACCGAGAGAACAGCGCCACCTGCAAGCTTTTAGTGATGCATTGGCTGATTGTGCACTCTCGGATATGGGTTATGTTGGTGACAAATTTACATGGCCGAGAGGGCGAATAAGGGAAAGGCTCGATCGGAGGTCTCTAATGCCCAATGAAGTGGTCTATTTCCTACCGCCAGACTAGAGAATGGCGGGATGCTTAAATTTGATCACCGGCCGTTGATTGTCGAAACTGAAGTGCAAGCTGACCATGTTGTCGGTATGCAACAGGGGCCTAAACGGTTTGAAGCAAGATGGCTAAAGGAGAAAACAGTAGAGGAGATGGTAAAGGTGGCCTGGGCACGTGCAGTGTCCAGAGGAGATGCGCCTAGTTTTCTTGAAAAAACCCCGACAAGTACATGAAGAGCTCCATGTTTGGGATAAAAAGGTACTGAAAGGACCGACTAATCGTATTAAGAAAATGCACAAAGAGTTGGAGGAACTCGGGAGAGTCCCGCTAACAGATGATAGTATTGCTGCTCAAAAGGACTTGCTGGTCCGTCTGGAACTCCTAATGGAGCAAGAAGGATTGACTTGGATTCAATGTGCCTGTGCTAATTGGCTCAAGCATGGGGACCGAAATACCATTTTGCCTCGAGTCGAAAGAAGAGGAATATGGTGACCGCCTAGTTGACGAGCAGAGGGTAAGACATGAGGATAGCAACACTATGTCCTCTATGGTGCATAATTATTTTCCCACCTATTTTAGTCTGAGTTGCAAGAGTTTGATGAGCCAGTTTTGGACTGAGTAAAGGTTAACGTGATGCCTGATATGAATCGGAGTTTGCTAGCACCGTTTTCTACAGAAGAGGTAAAAAGGCTTTGTTCGATATTGGTGATCTGAAAGCCCCAGGACCGGACGGATTGCACGTAATTTTCTTCAAACGGTTTTGGCCGATGTTAGGGGATGATTTTACAAAGGAAGTTTTAGAGGCAGTGAATACGGCAACCATTCAGAGGGATGGAACGATACCACTATTGTTATGATTCCAAAGGTGGACAACCTAGACAAAGTGGCTCAATTTCATCCTATCAGCCTCTGTAATATGGTTTATAAGGTTATATCTAAAATGCTCTCTCATAGGATGAAGCGCATTCTGCCTGAGATTATTAGTGGTCATCAGAGTGCTTTTGTGCCAGGTAGACTTATCATAGATAATATATTGATTGCATATGAATGTATCCATTCTATCAAGAAGAAACAAGGGAAACGTGGGCTTTGTGCAGTGAAATTGGACATGCATAAGGCTTATGATAGGGTTAAATGGGTGTTTTTGGAGAAGATTATGTTAAAGATGGGTTTTGATGCTCGGTGGGTGGCATGAATGTATCCATTCTATCAAGAAGAAACAAGGGAAACGTGGGCTTTGTGCAGTGAAATTGGACATGCATAAGGCTTATGATAGGGTTAAATAGGTGTTTTTGGAGAAGATTATGTTAAAGATGGGTTTTGATGCTTGGTGGGTGGCTCTTATTATGTCATGTGTGACCTCTGTTAGGTATATAGCTCGGTTTAACTCAATGGAGACAGATATTTTTTCACCTACCAGGGGGATTAGACAAGGGGATCCCTTGTCCCCTTATCTTTTCCTTTTTGTTGTAGAAGGCTTATCGAGTATGATCAAGCACGCTGAGGAGAGTGGAGAGCTGCAGGGGATCCGAGTATGTAAAGATGCACCAATGGTTTCTCATCTTTTATTTGCCGATGATTCTTTAATCCTTATGCATGCTGATAAAAGTAATGTTGATTGCCTGAGGAATTTACTAGACAGATATTGTCTAAACTCCTATCAATTGTTGAGCGAGAACAAGTCAAGTATTTTTTCCTCTAGAAACAGAGAAACTTATGTGAAGTTAGAGGTATGTAAATCGCTGAATATTATGAGTGAATCCCTTAATGACAAATATCTGGGTTTACTTGCATTAGTAGGAGCAGACAAGTGATTGTTTTCGCCACCTCATTGATAGAATTGTTCAGAGAATTGGCGGATGGAAGGAGAAACTGCTAAGTATGGGTGGAAAGGAGGTTTTAATTAAATTCATCGTCCAAGCCGTGCCAACATATGTAACACCCTAGGTGTTAAGCGTCACTAAAACTTGATCATGTCATCATCATGCATGTTAAGCATCAATGGTAGCTAACCATGCCTTGTATTCACTAAAATTAATATTTACTTGCTAGTAATGCAATGCATATGTGATGTGTTGAGCTTAAATCAAAAACCTTTTTAAGGTACCTTGTGGCCTTTTAATTTTGAATTTCACCAAAATATTTGAAATTGTGTCTTAATAAACTTTGAGGTGTAAAGTGTGTACTTTACACTAATGTCAAGTGTGGGGTATGAATTCAAGTCCAACCCATTAAAACTTGAGCTCCAAATTTGAAAACAGAATTGAATTCCAGCACTTAGGCAGATTTGGCTAAGTTTTGGGATTTAGTGTTGAATTCAAATTTGAGGGATTTACTAAAATGAATTTTACAAATAAACTTGTGGCAAACAATTGCATCAATTCAAAGTATGAAGTTTGTACTTTGGAATCATGCTTTTGGTTGTGATGTTTGATCATTAATTAATCACTAATTAATTCACTAATCTAACTAACTTAACTAGACTTTCAAAACCCTAGCTGAAAAGTCAGAGGGCAGTTTCTATCTATCCTTGTTCTTGGGCTTGGATCTTCTTAACCAGTTAGAATTAGAGTTCAATCCTTAAAGCAAAGTTGAAGTCGACATGAAGGGGAAGAACTTTTATTCTTGAAGATTTTTAAGTTACTTAATGGATTCTGTAGAAAAAGAGAGAAGAAGGAGGAGTTTCAGGCGGTAATGTTCATCACCGGGAGCAGTCAGTCTGCCTGCTCACCGCCAACACCGACGCCCTATAACGTCGCCTAAGCGCACGGGGACACGTACCTATTTTCGTGGCGTAACTCAAGCAGGAGCTGGCAATCGTGCCCCGTGTCAACCTTGCCGTGATAAGCCCGAGCCAAACGTCGTTCTCTTCCTTCTCTCTCTGCTCCGCCGACGATTGCTTCGCCTCTGCCCAATTCGCCTCGCTTAAAGCTTCGCCACTGCGTAGCACATCTACTCGACCTGTTAGCGCCAGCTCTACCTGTCAGAGCTGCCCGTGCGACGCCATCTTC